GCGCCGGACCCCCCGTCTGTGCAGCCGCCAGGCAGCCCGCTCAGACGAGACCTGGCCTGCGTCAGTCCCATCACCGCTGCCTCTCGCCCCATCACTGGGTGCCCGGCTGAAGCGGGACGCAGCAGTGGGTGGCATTGCTCCCCCTGGTCCGGCCGTGCCTTCCTCAGGCAGGAAACGACGTGGTCTAGGGCCAGGCAGCGGTCGCAGGCCACAAGGGCAGGAAACGAAATCTGGGCCATGGAAGCATTCTTCTCCATGTCATAAATCCTCCTCTGAGTTTCCAGCCTGCGGCCACAGGCCCAGTGCAGCAGGGACAGGCAGGCCCCCGCCCCCGCACTACAAGGAGCCGCGTTTGTGGGGCGCTCTCCCAGCTGTGCACACGGGGCCAGCCGACGGACGTCCCCGGTCGCCCAGCCACCCCGAGCTGAGCCGGCTGCCCCCGGGGGCCAGGGCTGGCGGGCACCAAAGGGCTCTGGTGCAGAGGGGAAGGAGTGGCGCTGTGGGAGTCTCGTAGCGGTGCACGCGGGGCACCCTGCTAACGAGCTGCCGCCCCTGGCTCCACGGCCACTCTGGTTCCCAGGGCTAGCGCCCCCTGGCTCTGGAGAACGGGGTGAGCAATGGGGCACAGTGCATGCAGACAGGCTGCCGGTTTGGAGGGTCGTTCAGAATGCCTGTCCGGAGCCTCGGCCCAGCCCTGGGTGGTGGCTAAGCGCCGAACTTCCATTGCCCGATGCCGTGGGCCTGGGCTGTGAGTGGGCCGGTGCGCTGAGCTCGGGGAGCTGTTCTCAGTTTACACCAGCGTGAGCGAGATCAGCACTGGGCAGACCCTAGACAGACTGGTTGCCGGGGCCTGGAGGGTCGTTCAGAATGCCTGTCCGGAGCCTCGGCCCAGCCCTGGGTGGTGGCTAAGCGCCGAACTTCCATTGCCCGATGCCGTGGGCCTGGGCTGTGAGTGGGCCGGTGCGCTGAGCTCGGGGAGCTGTTCTCAGTTTACACCAGCGTGAGCGAGATCAGCACTGGGCAGACCCTAGACAGACTGGTTGCCGGGGCCCACCCTTTGTGATCGCCTCGCCTGACCGCCCTACCGCACGGCCAGAGGCCTGCCCCCCACGGTGCCTCCCGCCGGGCTGTTAGAAAAGCCCTGGCCTTGACTTTGAAGCTGCCAGGGATGGAGAAGGCCCCCCCGCCCCTCTTGGTAAATTGGGCCGGGCTTAGTGACGGTTAATGTAGCTCGGGAGTCCTGTTCGTCCAGGCCAGAGCGCATCCAGCACGTTAGTGTCGCTCTGGGAGCTCCTGCTCAGCTGCGTTTCCACCCTCACTCCCAGATCTTTCAGGCCCTGCCAGGGTAGCCGCCGTTCTTTCTTACTGGGTGGGTATGTTTCCTCTTGGCCCTTTTGCAACACGCTGGGTTTGCCTGCGCCCACTTTTCCAAAGGATCCCGATTGCTCTGAATCACGACGTGTCCACCTAGTCATCTGTCACTCCCTGATTTTTGTCTGCAAACGTTGTTAGTTTTGGTTTCAGATCATTGATAAACATGTTAAATAGCAGAGGACCAAGAACTAATTGCAGAGTGAAACGGACCTACGCCGTGACAATTTCCCATGTAGAGTTACGGTTTGAGACCTGTCAATTAGCCAGTGTTTAATCAATGTAATGTGTGCAATATATGGTTCTAGCGTTTAATCGAAGCATCCGGTGGTACCAGCTCAGTACCTTACAAGTGCCTAAGTCTATTATGTCACTACTATTACTTTCATCAACCAAACTTTTAATCTCATCAGAAAAAGATAATTACTTTAACAGGATGTGTGTTTCACAAGTCTGTGTTGATTGGCATTACATTACCCTACTTTAATTCTTTATTAATCAAGTCCCGCATCAGCTGCTGCATTCTCTTACCCAGGATCGATGTCAGGCTGACAGTCCTAATATTATAACAACTTACTTTTTAAAATATTGGCACAGCTTTAGCTTTTTTCTAGTCACATGGAAATTTCCCAGTTCGCCAAGACTTACTGAAAAGCAACATTAACAGTTCAGTGATCTCCTCAGCCAGCTCTTTTAAAACTCTTGGATGCAAGTTCTCTGGAGCTGCTGATTTTAAAATGTCTGATTTTAGTAGCGTCTGTTTGTCGTCA